ACCCCTAGGATGCACAATAGATCTATCAGCAAGCTGGATGCTCATCCTAGTATTACTGGGTTCACCTAGGCCTAGCTTCTTAAACAGTGAATATGGCATGACATTAATGCTAGCGCCTAAATCCGCCAAGGACTTCCCTACATGAAAACTACCAATCATGCAAGGGATAGTGAAACTCCCTGGGTCTTTTTGCTTCTCTGGTAGTTTGTTCTGCAGGATGGCAGAACACTCCTCGTTTAGCATCACCGTGGACAACTCCCCAAGCTTCCTCTTGTTGGTGAGGAGATCCTTCATGAACTTGCCATACTTGGGCATCTTCGATAATGCCTCCACGAAGGGCATGCTAATATTCACCTGCTTCAGCATTGCCATGAATTTGGCAAACTCAGTCTCCAGTCGGTCCTTGTGCAACCGAGTAGGAAAGGAAAGCTGTGGTACATACTCCTTCACCACTGGTTGCGGTTTAGGAGCAGGCACCTCAACCTCCTTCTCCATTTCTTCCTGATTAGCTGGAAGTGCTGAAGCAGGGGTCTCTCTCTCCTCTGCCCGAACAGGTGGATCGGCAGTCACCTTGCCACTCCTGGTTGTGATGGCACTGCAGTTGGCATCCGGGTCCTGCGGGTGAGGGATGTTCTGACCAGGCAAGGTACCTGGAGTCCTCCGAGCAACAGCCTGGGCAACACCACCAAGCTGGGTCTGTATATCTCGCAGCACAGCCTGTGTGTTTCTCTGACCAGCTTCTAGCTCCAAGAACTTGCCTGAAGCTTTCTCCATAAATTGCTCAATGTTATTGAATTTATTGGCACTGGAGGTGGCCAGAGAACCCACCAGATCTCTCAGTTCCGCCATCGGGTCACTCTGTACTGGGGCTGCAGGTGCTGCCCCTGCCTGCTGAAATGGTCGCACCTGTGACTGAGGTGGAACTGGCCCCTGTCTGGGCGGGTAGAGTGGCTGCTGTGGCTGCTGAAATTTCCCCTGTCTGGGCTGGTATGGAGGCCTCTGAAAACCGGGTGGTCCCTGGGGAGCTGGTGGTCTGGGATTTGGCCCAGCCCAAGAAAAGTTAGGATGCTGGCGCCACCCCTCGTTATAGGTGTTGCTGTAGGGGTCAAAGCGCCTGGCATTCCCGATGAAGTCCACCTGCTCCTGGGGAGTAGACGACTCCCTCATCGCCTGACAGTCCTCCACGGTGTGATGAGAGCTCTCACACCACTGGCAGTGCATCGCCTGCGGCTGTCCTGTACCTGCAAGCAAACCAGAACGATCGATAGCTGAAACCAGCTTCGATACCACCTGCACCAAATCAGATGACTGGGTGCCCACAGCATGCACACCCCGTCCTGGTGCTCGTCTCGATCTCCTGGCAGTGCCCCAGTCGTACCCGTTCTCCGCCATCTCCTCAAAGAGTTGATTCAGCTGTGGCGGGGTTTTTATCAGCATGTTCCCGCCACAAACCGAATCAATCAGCTGCTTGTCCTCCGGGAAGAGGGCGTGATAGAAGGTGCCCACCTTGAATGCATCATTGAAACCATGATTGGGACACCTGAGAAAGAGACTGGTGTACCTCTCCCAAGCATCATTGATGGTCTCATCCTCATCCTGAGCAAAATGTGTAATTTGCTTCTGCAGGTCAGCTGTCTTGGATGGAGGATGGTAGCGGGTGAGGAACTTGTCCGCCAGGTTGGCGAACGTGGTGATGGAGCCCGGAGGTCGAGTGTATAGCCACTCCTTGGCCTGCCCTTCCAGAGTCAATGGGAAGTACCTCAGTTGGATGGCATTTTCTGGTACCCCATTGATCTTGATTCCATCGATGAGCTCGTGGAATCGCCTGAGATGTGATCGGGGGCACTCTCCCTCCTTACCACGGAACACTACTGAATCGCGCAACATGGTGATTACTGATGTGCTCACCTCAAAATTGTTGGCTGGGACATGAGGGTGTTGAATGGGTGACCTTATATCCGCAGCTCTATCGGTCCAGTAGGATCCCATGGTCTGCTCCTCTAGGTTGATCACGTCATGGTTCTGTGGATCAGCCATCTCTTCTTCTTCTTCTTCTTCTTCTTCTTCTTCTTCTTCTTCTTCTAACTGCAGCTGTGATAACTCCTCCTCCGCAGCCAGTCGCGCCTGTAGAGCCCGCTTGAAGTTCCTGCAAGTTCGTTCAAGCTCCTGATCTAATGGTAGTAGTTCTCCCGACTGGCTACGGGTCATGCACTACCTGCACACAATCAGCAGAAGCAACCCGTGAAGGCACACAGGTGGAAGAGATAAAATGCAGTAAATAAAAAGCTAGAGTAACAAATTCTCACGTTTCCCCAATAATCTAGAGGGTTCCCCGGCAACGGCGCCAAAAACTTGACACGCCAAAACACAACACCAAACTGCGACCAAGTGTAATCGCAGTCCGGGAATGCAGTAACAGGCAAGTTATATTATCAACCCGGGGTCTAGATCTACTGCTTACTCCGTGATTCTCTATTATCTAGCAAACTAATTCGAGTGATTGTTGATTAAAGCTAAAGCAGTAAGAAAGCAGTAAATGGTTCGGTTTTCAAAGTCAGGCAAGAGTCACTCGGGATTGAGTCCCCCTAGCCCCTTAGTTAGGTGGGTTGATTTACTGTTGATTAGACTGCGGAAGATCCGACAGTAGCTTGGAATCTCTTAAGCTGACCAAGCCCTCTCAGTCTAACTACCCGGCAGACGACTAGTCTTCACCGGGATAGAAAGCTGAGGCTATGAACACAGAACTCCACTACTGGAATTGAATTCCAGTACAAAGCAGTAAACTGGCTAACTCTCGTATAGCCAATCTCCTACTATCGAATGAAGAGGCTCTAACAACCTAATCAGATTCTATCTATCTCAGGTTGCAGCAGAAATTGAGAAAAGCTGATCAGACTCCAATCAATTCAATAAACATGCATCATTCGATTAAAATCAAACAGTAATATCATCCCAAGTCATTACAATCAAATCCCTAACACAAGGAACTAGGGTTCTTCATACCCAAGTGAGAGAAGGGTTCTACTCCATAGAGAGAGAAGAGAAAACAGTAATCGGATTAGTCATACTCATAATGATGAGGAAAATCTGCTCCGGGATGATGATTTCCACTCCTATGACGATCTCCAAGCTCGATTCGATGAAACCCAGCTCCAAAATAGCTTCTAGGTTGTGTTCTTCGTACTTTCTCTCTCTAGGGCTCTGTTTTTGCTCTGAAAATCCGATTCTCCCACTTTTGGCTCGGAATAGGCTATAAAACGAGAATTTCCCGACTCGCACGGCCAGGCCACACGGCCGTGTGGCTCACCACTTTGCCCGTGCGAGTCGAAACGCGGCGTATGGATTAGTCGACCTTCAGCCATCTCACACGGCCAGGGTTGCACGGCCGTGTGAGAATTCCAGTCTGCCCGTGCTCGGCCTCGGCAGAAATCACACGGCCAGGGTGCTCAATGGCACGGCCGTGTGAAGGTTGTTTGTGCCTGTGCAGCTTCCTTGACACCTCGCCACGCGTCCGATCTTCGTCCAATCGACCCCAGACTCGCTCCCAAGCCTCCATTCACGTACTAGGACCTGAAATATCACAAACAAGCACAACCTAGCGTGAAATCGGCCTAAAACACGAGAATCAACACCTCAAACGGTGTAAGAACGAGGGTAAAAACATGTGCAAATAACGGTCTATCACTTCCCTTATTGTCACAGCGTGTTAGTTATCGGTTGATAATTGAAAAGATATAATTAATAATAGTTCCACAGTGGGTTTATAATTGTTAATAATATTGTTTGACGAGGAGGTTTAATATTATTGAAAGTGCTACTTTAAATTGTTAATAGCATTGTTGAAATATTCGAACAAGAGTTCCCTCATATTGATAGAGTGAGTTTGCTACCGGTTAATAAACCAATGAAAACATTATTAATAAGACCATAGTAGGGTAGATGCAACAATATTGACACAACGTGTTTGTACCGGTTAATAATTTCAACGATTTAGTTAATAATAGTGCCGCGATCGGTGAATAATTGATAATGATATTGATGATGACATAGTCTAATATTATTGAAAGTGTTGACAATACATTTGATAAGAGTGCGAAACATTGTTAATGATAATGGTTAGTAATTTGTTAATAACGACCTTAAATTATATGATGAACGCCGGTAACAGAACATAAATGTTAACAATGTTAACCAAAATAATTATTATGGAAACAAATGATACTTCCCCTTCAAATTAACAATGTTAACCAAAACAATGTCACTGATAGTGTTTAGCCAAACCTTAAAAAAGGGATTACAAGGCAATCCTTAATCCGATCAAAACCAATGCAAATAGTCGTCAATTCTTATTTCAAAGCAAAGGTTCCAACTCTAGGTCTTCCACTCATGTGAACTCCTCAAAATTGTAGCTACGATTCACTACCTAGCCACAAAAAAGCAATGATGGAACCAGTTCCTCTTCATACTTCTTGTACGCTAGCTGTTCCGTCCCACCCTTGAGGTAAGCTATTCATGAATTGGAATTGCTTGTTCTTTAAATCAACACATTAAACAACAAATTGGTCGTCCATACAGAGAGGGAAAAACCACTGCAATGCGAATGATGAGCAAAACGTTAATAATGGTTGTTAAAAACATTGATAAGATAAAAAATAAAAATTATGTTTTAACACGAAGAAGATATGATTCGATTAAAAAAATAAGTGAAAATAAAAATGTCTTAAATTCTTTATCATTATATATGGACTTTCTAAGCTCACTTAAATTTGATGGCTGAGATTTGTTTACTCATGGTGAGTAACATGGGGTTATTGACGGGAACTTGGGTCGAGATAGTGGATGGGTAATGAAGGTTATGTAGATTTATTTTACGGGAACTTGAGAACTTGGTCCGACCAGACCATTAAAGCTCAAACACCCCTTACTTGACCGGTTTAATAACTTAAACCGGTTTGACAACCTTGTATAAGTAGCAAGTTTGGTCATTAAGGAAACCGATGACGTGGCAAAAGCAAAACCGGAGCCGAGACTTCTCGCGGCCCTCCGAAATCTCTCAGCCACCACAATTTCAGGGTTCTTTGGCTGATTATCGTCTCTATCTTCCCGCTCCGATCACTCTCTGATTTCAGATTTCACAACCGATTCGACGGCGACCCGAGCTCTACTCTTTTTTCTCTCTCGTTGGAGCGCTTCGAGCTTGGGCGCTCCCAGCTCTCTTTGAAACGTGTGAATTTCCGCGTCTGGAAAACGCGACAAAAAAAAAGACGGCAGTGTTGTGGTTTAGTGTGTATCAGGTCGTGCAGGGCCTAAGTTTTAGGTATGGGAATGGGAGCGAGCTCTGGCTCGGACAAGGACTCCAATGGATGGGGCGGCAGAGCACAGGGATTGGCCGTCAAGACGCTTGTTCTCATCGGGGGTGCGCTCCTGGTGAAACGGTTTACTAAATCCACTACTCGTTGGGATCATGCTCGCCTCGTCTCGGAATCGCTCACCGGCGAAAAGGTGAGCGTTCTTGTTTTCTTGCGTTGTACATTTCTGATGCTTTGTTCTGGTTATTGGTCAATTTTTTGGTTTCGTTGGTTTGGCACTTTGCATAATTCAAATTTTGATTTGTGTTTATACTGTGCGAATAGTTCTCCAGAGAGCAAGCATCCAGAGATCCTGATAATTACTTCAACATTAGGTAGTTAATTCCTCTACGCTTTGTCTTGGATTTTGGTTATTCGTGAGTAATGAATCGAAATGAGAATGATGCTATGGGCTGTGCAATGAGTGCTCGAGCTCTCTACTGCAAAATTGTTGCCTCTCTTTTGCTTTTTGCTTTACTGTAGATGCTTTCAAATTGGTGTGGTGCAGGATGCTTATGTGCCCTGCTGCTGAGATGGTGGATGGTTCAAAGGTTTTGTACTTTGAGCAGGTTGAGTTATTGCCTAACTGCGTTAATTGAAGTTTTGTTCTTGATTCTGTTTCCATGTCAGACCTTTCTTATCAGCTTGTTAAGTTTTCTCCTTTTGGTTTTCACTCTTCTTAACAGGCATTCTGGCGAACTCCTCAAAAACCCTTTCGGCAGGTTGGTTGACCACCTTTAGCCAAACTATTGGCAGGGAAAATGCCATGGTCTGGACATGATATGATAGAACCTTGTCAATTTCAGATTTTTGTTTCTAAATTAATTTCTCCAAGCTTTTCATAGTACAGTGTGCTTCATCGTGATAATTTTGTCAGTGTTATACACTCCTTCAGTTTTTCATGCTAAAATGGCTAGGGAAGTGTTGTTGGAACTGGATTATCGGCTATCGGCTTTTGGGTATAGTTTACCACCTCTCATTATACTGATGATCTTTCATATACATGGCAGAGGTTCTACATGGTGAAGCCTTGTCCAAAGGAGTTAAAATGTGATGTGGAGGTAGTACCAACCTTTGTCAAATTTCTCCCCATATTGAATTTTAGAGTTGCTACTCAAAACAGCATAATCAATCTTCCTATCCTCCATTTGGGTTGCAGGTGAGTACATATGCAATTAGAGATGCAGAAGAGTACAAAAATTTCTGTGATCGGCCAAAGGACCAACGCCCACATCCTGAAGAAGTCATTGGTGTAAGCCTTATAAACTAATGTCATAATATGGTACCGAAGTGAAGCATATGTTGGAGTTGTTCACCTTACAACTTCACTGAAGCATATCTTGGCTGGCTGATATACTTAGTGTTGCATATATATTGATGCATGCATTTGCAACATGTTAAGTTTGCTTTTGGGGTAGAATGCAACATGTTAAGGTTGATAATCAGTTATTGAACAAATCACACAGCGTAGTCAATTTTTCCTTCCATCTCCCACCTGCATTCGCTTTCTTTGTCTTTTCTTTTATGAAAATGTACTGAGGTATTCCTTTTAGCATGTCATGCTCAATGGTGACAAGCATTCGACTGAAATTCAGCATATATATACATATCTGTTGGTTGGGGTTCGGTTGGTTTCAGATGAGTACTTGGAATTGTGATGTGTACTGCTACGTTGAGCCGTTTGCTTCATTAAATCAGTAATTATTATTGCTATCCTATGTTAAGCCGAGCAACTGTTGCCTGGATTTTGTTGCAGGATATTGCAGAGCACCTAACCACAATATATCTAAATCGTTGTGACCGTAGAAAACGTTGCCTTTATGAAGGTTCCACTCCACCAGAAGGATTCCCTAATTCATGGGTATGAGCAAAGTCCCCCCCACACCCCCCACCCAATTCCGCATCAATTTCAATGCTGTCTAACATTGTGTTATGTCTTAATATTTTACTCCACCAGGAGCCATTGCTAATGCCTAAATCCTTTTCCCCTTTCCAGAATGGTGCTTCCTATTGTACCTCAGAACTAGCTGTACTGAAGAACAGCGAAGTGCATATGTGGGACAGGGGCTACGATGACGATGGAAATCAGGTTTTAGCTTCATTTAATGCTACAGTTTAATCGAACTGTGAGATAGAAACATGCTTTTGGTAAGCACTGGTTCTAATATTCCCCTTTTGGGTACCTTCCACAGGTATGGGGAGTGAGGGAAGGTGCTTATGAATTCAAGACTGCACCAGCTTCTAGTAATCTCAATGGCATTTTCTCTTCTTTAAACTTTCCTCCTGCTCAGTCATTTGCCAAAAAGATAGAGGGCTCGTTTGTCTTGGAAGACTGATCACATTCACCATGTAATAACCAGGACAATACGATAGTGCTGTATAGATAGCATTGTTAATTCGTGATTATAAAAGGCTTGCCGCATTTCGGCTTTTGCAGGAGTTCCAATCGGGCTAGCCGAGAACTTACTGAAACCAAATTAGAAGAAGACTGAAAGTATGAAATTGAAGGGAAAGAATCAGCAGGATGTGGTTGGATTCTTCAGCCTTGGAAAGTGTTGTTGAGGTATGCAAGGGCGACTACTCCAACCACAACAGCAATCGGCAAAGCTTGCCTGCGAAAATAGCGAAAGGAAAATGTCTGAAGATGAGATTTGAAGAAGTGATTTGCCCTTTCTTCTTGGAATTAGTGCTACAAGGAGATTATCCCCTTTTTTGTTGGAATTAGTGCTACAAGGATATGGTTTAGGTTATGAGGAAATTGACCAACCCTCAAATAATTCTGGAGTTCTCTAATCACATCCTCCCCTACAATTTCTCATTTCTTCTGAAAAAATAACACGGGCATACTGTGAGCTCCTGAGCTTTTGTAGGCCTCATTCTTTTCAATGCTTTCTATATTTCCTTTTCTAAAATTGAATGTAAAAATGTTTTTATTAATTTTTTGGACTTTGCTACGGTGACATGCATGTCACGGTGACATGCACTTTTCGGTCGACCTCATATAGGATCAGGTCGACCTAATCTGTTGTTTCAGTGTAAAAATAGTTTCATGGTGCCTACTTTGGAGATTCGTATCTTACAATGGGCTAGATGGAAATTGGAGATTAAAGGCTTGTTTTGAAGCTGAGTGTGCCTCTACACATTAAAGTACTTGGGAGCTCAACGGAAAGTCCAGAAGACCATTTTTGAACCTGACCAAAAGGCTATGCCAAAACTGGGAAACTGCCTGAAAATGACTAAGTCTGGCAACGTGTTTGTCAAGCCTACTTTGGAGCTCAATTTGAGAAGCATGGATGCGAGTCAACTCTAGGGGCCTCTACCACGTTAAATTACGTATTTTTTATACAAAGGCAAGGCATTGGATGAAATATTGAATATCTTTAAGGCTTCAAACAAAAGGCTCGAAGTTGCTATGAAGCCTGTTTTTCTGGCCGCTTGCTTGTGCTCGAAGTCTGCCAGAAAAACAGCCTTCGTAGCAACTTCGACCCTTTTGTTTGAAGCCTTACAGATATCCAATCTTTCATCCAATGCCTTGAATTTGTATAAAAACATACCTAATTTAACTTGGTAGAGGCTCCTGGACTCGACTCGCATTCATGCTTCTCGAATTGAGCTCCAAAATAGGCTTCCCAAACACGTTTCCAGACTTGGCCATTTCCAGGCAGTTTCCCAGTTTTGGCATAGCCTTTTGATGAGGTTCAAAAATGGTCTTCTGGACTTCCTATCGAGCTCTCAATCACTTCAATATGTAGAGGGACACTCCAGATTCAAAACAAGTCATTAGTCTTCAATTTCCATCTAGCCAATTGTATGATATGAATATCCAAAGTAGGCACCATGAACTGTTTTTACACTGAAACAACAGATTAGGTCGACCTGATTCTATATGAGGTCGACCGAATCCTAAATGAGGTCGACCTAATCCTTACTGAGGTCGACCGGAAAGTGCAAGTCACCGTGACATGCATGTCACCGTAGGCACACCCTAATTTTTTAGTTTACTTTGCATTATACAGCCTCCGGAATTTTATTTTTAATCACATTGTTACCTGCGGTAAATAGGGACTTTAGATAGGACAATGTGCAATTTGAAATCGATTATTGTCCATTATGAACATCGACTGCTTTTCTATGAAAGATATTTGTGTTTTTAACCCCTTTTTTTTAGCCAATTTGTTCTTGATTTTTGCTTCCACCTTATCTCCTCCTGGATCATCACTTCATTTAGTTTCTTCTCTAGGGCTTTTCATCTGATCTCGCACAGATGCATTCATTTTCATTTTTCCGATTTCTCCAAATCTCTTTTGGCGTTTAGTCTTCTTTGTCTAAAGTTCGTAAACGAAGTTTTATTCCAGATTAACTTCATGTGTTCGAATCTTTTCTATCATAGACACAGTATTGCCTTCCTTCCAACTTTCATGTATTACTTGCTTGCAATCTGCATGTTGTTGCTATCAGTGCAGTCAAAATTGCTCATCAAGTCATAAAAATGTATGTTCTTGCTTGTCTAGTCACCAAAATGAGTCACATTCAACTAAAATTGTTTAGTGCACAAAAGCGTACAAAATCGCAAGTAGAAACAGTAAAATCGATAAAAACGCTCAAAAATACACTTGAACTATGTTTCTATGCGATTCCATTCACTATCTAGAAAACCGATATTTGCACCATAGTAACGTCGTTTTGGTGTCTTAAAATTAAAATATGAATAAAAATGACAGTATCAAAAGGAAAGAAAGGGATTGTTGGGCTCGAGCCCTCCAAATCCCTAATCCTACACAAAACAACCACTTTTCTCCTTTATCCCTTCACTATTGGAGAAGAACCCCAAATCGCCTCTCCCCCTAATACACCATCTCCTCTAGGGCCTCCACCACTGTCACCGTTGTAGACTTGAACTCCCACTCACCTTAGATGCTAGCCTGATACAGACATCCATTGGAGAAGGAGAAGCAGACTTCCCAACTCCTAAGTCCCATTGCCAGCCCTGTTCATCGAAGAAGCCAACTTCCCAGCCCGACAACACACATTCTCGTCTCCCATTATAAGAGGTTAAAAAGCTTAACTATCCCTTTCTCAACAACTCGAGTTATTGGGACCAAGTGGTTAGTTCGCTAACATGGTATCAGAGCCTATATACGAAAGGTCATGGTTTCGAACCCTCATGACGACCCCCAATTAAAAAACAATGGTTTAATACAAGGAATGGTATGTCCAACCTGTACAAACTGAAAGCCGAATGGGTTTGGCAGCACAAGGAATGATACGTTCAACCTGTGCAAACCGTATAAGAAAACCCCGAAGAAATATAGGCTTTTGTTTGAGGGGGCGTATAAGAGGTTAAAAGGCTTAACTATCCATTTTCCAACAACTTGAGTTATTGGGACCAAGTGGTTAGTTTGCTAACACCCATCGGGCAAGTATAGAAGGTTTGCTTCCTTATTATGTTCTTTTTTGCTTTTCGATTTGTTTGGCGTTGTTGTTTGTCGAAGTTGTTGTTTGTCTATAGTCAGCCTTCTCTGCTTTTACTTTGTTGCCTTGTTTCATCCTTTCCATTGAGACTAAAAAGCCTGTCGTCAAGGCTATCGACAACTATGGTTAATTGAACTTTTATTAATAATGGTGGCTTGGAGTTTTGGTGTTTGGTGATATAGGGCAAGTATGTTTAAATTTCAGAAAGTGAGATGCAATTATTGTGACAAGGAGTATGTGGTATATATTGATTCAACATCATCTTGCAAGAACAATAAAAGACTCTATGGTTTGTGCTGGTGCTCATGATGAAGTTAGGGGGAAATGGTAGAACTACTCAGAACAACTAAAGAAGGGAAGGTGACTAATACAAGGAAGCTGCATGATCTCAATTTTGGTCAAGATGGAGATGTTAGTGGTGTTCCAATTCGAGATTCAATTCACTCAAATGTGGCTAGTGGCACTAATAAACTAAAAAAAGTTCATTATTGAAGAAAGATCCTAGGGAAAAGGCTTGCAAGTCAATATCAAAATGGTACTGTGAAAATGCAATTGCATTCAATGTAACTAGAAGCGATAACTATGAACAAATATGAGAAGGTGTAGCTCAGAATAGTCGTGGTTTTTAGAGTCTTTTGTATCATAAGTTGAGGAAGACTTATCTGAAAGAAGAAATGAAGGAAGTGGAGAGTGAATTGGAGATCTTCAAAGCACTATAATATGAATAGACAGATAAAAAAACAAGTTATTTCTAACTTTTTGGTTGATTTTTGTCGTGGAACCGTATTGTTTTTTACCTCTCTTTTATGTTGTTCTAGTTTGGCTAGATTTGGTGAATCCAGACACTTGTAATACATTGTAAGAGTTCTCTTCATGCTTGAACTATAAACTTGATGGACCAAAGAACAACACGATGAGGAACTTCGTTGAAGTTTGCAAGAACAAAGATCAAACAATACCAAACTTTAAGAGTGACAGAGAGTGAAGGAGAAAACCCATATTCAGCCAAGAAGAGTTGGAATGCCTTACTAGTTACCAAAATGCTTGAACATATAGAACAAATGTGTTTTACCTGCGTAAATGGATCAAACTCTTCAAGCACAAAGATGATTGTCATCAAATGATGCATTAAGGAAAGGTTTCAAGATCAAGCGGTTCTGAACCTTATTGAGAAATCCATTACATGAAAATAATGTTGTATTGGCATAACACTTTTGTGAATAACCAGGAATGCTCCAAACGCAACTGCTTTGTAATTTCCCAAATGACCATTGTTCATAACAAAAAGAAGACTACGAAATCAACACAAAAATTGGGGGAATTCAACCATAATCTACTCACAAAAACATTTGTTCGTGTATAAATAAGCATGCATGGTCCATGGAGAATATATAGTAATGGAATTTACCTTTTTTTTATGAATAAGTTGTGTATTCATCAAGTAAGAATGGTAGAAAACCATTCAAACTGGCACCAAAACATCAGAGTCCCCCAGTTACATGATACAGACAGTCACTCAAAACCTATAAACTCAGCTACTGTCAAAAGAATCCGCCCAAAACAAACAGACAGAAGAACTCTACACAATATTTTGGATCTCAGACTCACTAATAACCAAACTTATTTGAGGGAACCCATTTCACAACAAGATCAGCAGCTGCTGCAACTTCTTCAGCAGATGTACTTCCGTCAGAGCACCACTTCCATATAAATGCCTACATCGCTCCCTCCATAGCTCGCTCACCACTGTCATCCAAAGCAACTTTCCACGATCAGAGGCTGGAGCAGCCGCCTTGAATTTGCTTATGGCTATCCCCAGATTGTCTTCCCAACACCTTCCAGAATAGTCCTGCGAGTGAAAAACAGCCTGGAGAATCCACTGTGAATACAAGCACTAAAAAAAGAGATGGTCCCTGGAGTCCACAGCAGTTGCACATAGAGGGCATCTGCTATCAACAGAGGGGTTCCAAACTTGCACTTTATCAAGTGTAGTTATTCTATTTTGAATGATAAGCCACGCCACCACCTTATCCCTTGGAGTACAGAGAGACTTCCAAACTAGGCCATACCATGGAATCTTATCATAACTGGGTCGAATTGTTTCCCAAACCCTATTGACAGAGTACTTACTCATGAGCTTACCATCCCAATAAACCTCTGAATGCCTGATGGTAAGGTGATGCTCCACATACTGCCTGGTTTTTAATACCTTTCTCCATGCCCAGGAATAGTTAACAGACGATGGAATGTCCCAAATAGATGTGTAGGTAAATGGAATTTACCTTTTCCTTTATGGTAAGATTGCATCCTGCTCAATGTAGTTTCTCATGAATTTAACAATAATATATACTCAGTTAAAAATGGCTAATAAGACTTTAATTGAACAAGGTAAGAGAATGGAGTGGCAACAGAAACTCGAACAGCTCAACCGATGATGATAGATCCTCCAATAGCGGCTCTGGGAGAAATTGACTTCAGGGCCAGTGACTACGAAGTGAAACTTCAATTTGTGGCAAGCAGTGAAATCATATTATCGAAAGAAATTGAGGCTCTGGGGGTCTTTTTTTGAAATAGTAATTTCATAATTGAACATGAAATATTAATTATTTCACTATTGTGAGAAATTTAAAAACTCACAACTAGCAACGCATGCGAACACCTCATTTCATATTGTGAGGAAGTTTTCAGATTATGTTACCATACTCCTTCATATAAGGAGGTCTTATTTGCAAGTGTGTTGGTACCAGACGGTCTCTTAGTTAGCACGCGGTCACTTCACCTCCCATAGTGATGGAGGTTCATGTTATCACATTTTTAAAGATTATCACATTTTGATGACCAGATAGTTAGGCTAGTTAAGTTGAGCTCAGAGCCCCATTTCAAGAAACGAACAAGGGTTTGCCTTAGTGGTAATACCACTAGACTAGAACATGGAGGTCGCAATTTCAAATCCCTTAAATAGTACCTTAATTAAAAAAAAAAGTAAAAACCTATATCACCTTTATCCAAAGAGCTCAGAGCTCCATTTCAAGAAAATGCATTCCAAGTAAACTAAATTTCTTAACACGCAAGCATTAAATGGTCATTGCATAAGCATGCACATTTTGAGTTGTTGAGTTTCTTCTTTCTTAGGTAAAATGGATCTAGGACTAGGAATGACCCCATGCCAGTATTAAGGATTTTTAGAAGTACCAGGAGCACACTTGGAGGATTGTTGAGTATTAAGGAGTTTTAGAAGTACCAGGAGCACACTTGGAGGATTGTTGTTCATCAATATCGTCGTTTTCGGAGGACTCCTGACTCGTCCCGAATACCACAATAACAATCCTAATTAAGGCTCAAGTATAAACCTTAACCGAGTGCAATATAAGGCAAGTATGTTTAAATGTCAACCCGGGCCGAACCATATACCCCTATTTCGATTGTTTGAAACATTATCTAGCAATTGGTTTTTGGTGAAAATAACGATCTATAACTAAAACGTTTGAAAAAGTAAATGGATTGGACACTAATTGAAAAGGCGTCACCCAGGTGTTGCTCCCCCTAGCCAACAATAATGAGTTTTCGGATCGAATGCATAGGTGTGGTAAAGGCGGTTGTAAACCGTTGGGAAGTGCAACTAGTGAACCAATGCCACTCGTTTGGTCAATAGGCCAAGGGATTCTGATCCAAGCTACCAAAGTAGCTCTCTTGGCATATCAACCAAGGGTTGCCTAGACTTCACCCTCGATTCAAAGTTCAGACGACCAAATTACAACCAACCCTAGGTGCTAATACGAATTAAGAGGTTTTCCCTAATTTAACCTAAGCAAGAGACAAAAATTGCCCAAGGAAATCCAGCTTTTACAAGCCTCTACTCAAAGGAGATTCCCCTCTACCTAGGTTAAAATAGCATAAGACATTGAAATTCACAAACACAATCAATCTTCATGAAAACATAACTTTGTATTAAAACACAGCCACACACTAATCACTAAATCCATACAAACATTCACATTATTGTAGCTAAGGTTTACAAACACCCAAGTGAAAAGAGAAACTACTCCATGCTAGATAAGGAGAAAACGCAAGGGAGAAGAAGGAAAACCATCTTGGAGATGCTAGCCTTGCTCCTTGTGGAGTAGAGATACTCCTTTGGGGAAGAATTTTCCAAAACCTTGCTTGAAGTTGAAACCCTAACATCTTTTCTTCTTTGGTTCGTTAGTTTTTATCTCTAGAAAGCTGAAGAAGAAGAAATTCTCACCCTAGGTCTCTCCATCCCTTTTCATTCAGCTCAGCCCTCCTTTTATACATAGGTCGAAGTCAGTTCACGGTCCCAGTTCACGGCCGTGAACATCCTTCCTGGACCGTGATGTCCATTATAAGGTGGTGTTGCAAACTCATAATGGTCATTATGAGTACCTGGTAATACCATTCGGACTGTGTAATGCTCCTTCTACTTTTAAGGCGGCTATGAATGAGATTTCTAACTCGTTACTGGGGCGGTTTGTGTTGCTGTTTTTCGATAATATTTAGATATATAATCCATGTTGGGAGGAGCATCTGCAGCATTTGTAGGTGGTATTTGATATTTTTCAGCAGCAGCAGATCTATGTAAAAGTCTCTAAATGCTCATTTGGGGTCGAGGAAGGCGTCACCCGAGTGTTGCTCCCCTAGCTAACAATAATGACTTGTCGGATTGAATGCATAGGTGTGGTAAAGGTGGTTGTAAACCGTTGGTAAGTGCAACTAGTGAACCAACGCCACTCGTTTGGTCAATAGGCCAAGGGATTCTGATCCAAGCTACCAAAGTAGCTCTCTTGGCCTATCAACCAAGGGTTCCCTAGACTTCACCCTCAAATCGGAGTTTGGACGGCCAAATTGCAACCAACCCTAGGTGCTAATACAAATTAAGAGGTTTGTCCTAATTTAACCTAAGCAGGAGACAAAATTGCCTAAGAAAATCCAGCTTTTACAAGCCTCTACTCAAAGGAGATTCCCCTCTACCTAGGTTAAAATAGCATAAGACATTGAAATGCACAAACACAATCAATCTTCATGAAAATACCTCATAACTTTGTATTAAAACACAACCACACACTAATCATTCAATCCATTCAAACATTCACATTATTGTAGCTAGGGTTTACACACACTCAAGTGAAAAGAAAAACTACTCCATGCTAGATAAAGAGAAAACACAAGGGAGAAGAAGGAAAACCATTTCGGAGATGCTAGCCTTGCTCCTTGTGGTGTAGAGATCCTCCTTTGGGGAAGAATTTTCCAAAACCTTGCTTGGAGTTGAAACCCTAACCTCTTCTCTTCTTTGGTTCGTCAGTTTTTCTCTCTAGAAAGCTGAAGAAGAAGAAGTTTCTCACCCTAGGTCTCCCCCCCTTTTCATTCAGCTTAGCCCGCTTTTTATACCTTAGTCGAAGTTAGTTCACGGTCCCAGTTCACGGCCTTGAACATCCTTCCTGGATCGTGGTGTCCATTATAAGACGGTGTTGGAAACTCATAATGGTCATTATGAGTAGCTGGTAATACCATTCGGACTGTGTAATGCTCCTTCTACTTTTAAGGCGGCTATGAATGATATTTCTAATCCGTTACTATGGCGGTTTGTGCTGGTGTTTTTCGATAATATTTTGATATATAATCCATTGGGAGGAGCATCTGCAGCATTTGTAGGTGGTATTTGATATTTTTCAGCAGCAGCAGTTCTATGTAAAACCCTCTAACTGCTCATTTGTTGTCACAGGACAGACACGCTATCGCCTTCATGAGTAAGATGCTCGCTCCTTCAAAGGAAGTGTGGTCTACTTACCAGAAGGAGATGTTAGCTATCATTACTGTCATACAGATGCGGAGACCATATCTTCTTGGACAGAAATTATGCATTTATATAGATCACTAGAGCCTCAAGCACATGCTCAGGTAGAAGGTGTCCACTTCAGATCAGCACAAGTGGATGTCTAAGTTGATGGGGTATGATTATGAGATACACTACAAGCCAGGACAAGATAATGTAGTGGCATATGGGTTATCCCAGAGCCAATGAGGGGAGAGGATGGAGGTGGTCACAAGGAATGTTCTGCAATTTTGTGAGGAGCTCAGAGCTGCGGTACAGTCGAGTCCCTACCTGCAGGAATGCCGGCCGGATTGTGTTACCTGTAGGATCATCCTTTGTTTCTACGATACTCAAGGAGTTCCACGGCCCGCTGGTAGGGGGTCATTCCAGGCAGGAGAGAACTATACGGAGGGTTCAAGCTCATTTTTATTAGCCTTAGATGGTGGTCGTAGTTCAGGTGTATGTGGCAAGCTGCGATACCTGCCAGCGTGTCAAGTCATCATTACTATGACCCACAAGATTGATGCAACCTTTTTCGGTCCCAAAGAAGGTTTGGGAGGACATCATCATGGATTTCATTGTGGGTCTACTTCCATCGGGTGGGAAGACAATATTGTTTGTGGTGGAGGATCGTCTCACTAAGCATGCACATTTCATGGCTTTAGCCCACCCGTACACTACAAAGTCGGTTGTCGAACAGTTTGTTCAGGGAGTTATTCGGAACCATGGTTTTCCACGGACTATAGTAAGCGATCATGATGCGGTCTTTTTGGGTCACTTTTGGCAGGAGGTATTTGCGATGGCAATGATGGATTTATGCATGAGTTCAGCTTACCATCCACAGTCCGATGGTCAGACCGAGGTAGTTAACTGGCAGTTGGAGCAGTATTTGCAGTGTTTTGCCCATTAGTAGCCGTAAGGCTGGTTAGCCACACTACTCTAGGCGGAATTGTGGTACAACACGACGTACCTTAGAGCGATTAGGATGACACTATTGGAAGCGCTCTATGGTAGGACGCCTCTAGTGTTGGTCTGATACAGAGGAGGCTGGAGCACTGTGAATGCGGTGGACATGTGGTTAGCTGCTTGAGAAGAAGCTTTGGTGCAGTTGAAGAGTAATTTGGCAGTGGCGAATAACAGGATGAAGCAGCTAGCGGACGCCGGTCGGAAGGAAGAAGAGTTCGCAGTGGGCAATCTAGTCTTCCTGCGACTGCATCCTTATCGGCAGTTTTTGTCTTTCGTCGAGCTTAACAGAAGCTCGCATCCAAGTACTTTGGGTTGAACGAGGTGCTAGAGAGAGTGGGGCTAGTGGTGTACATGATGCAGCTATCAGAGGCTTCGAGGATCCATCCTACCTTCCACGTCGCTCTGTTGATGAGGTATCGAGGAAGTTTGCATCCAGATGAGGTACCTGTGCCGCTAGTGACGACAGAGGGAGAGTTGTTGCTCGAGCCCTTGGAGGTCCTGGATACCCGTTGGGTGCCTAAAGGCGTCAAATTGAAGGAGTAGAGCTTGATCTGCTGGTGACATGTGGAGTCGGAAGATGCCACATGGGAGGATACAGAGACCATCAGGCAGAGTTATCCTACATTCGCCTTTGAGGGCAAGGTCGATCCCACAGAGGATAGGAATTATAGAAACACGGCTCGGTAGGTGGATATGGGCGGACGGGTCCTTGACCTGTGTTATTATTTGTTTGAGACACTATTTAAGGATTGTTTGGTATTGTTTTGGGAACTAAGCAAGAACAATTACAAAAATCCTATTCTCCTACCTTCTTCTCTCTCGACTTCCTTTCCCTTATAATCACTAATTTCTTTCTCAAATCCCTAATTATCCAACTCAATTCTTCCCCAATTCTCATGTCATATTCTTCATTCTAATCCCTAATTTTGTCTCATATCTAATAAAATGCAAATTAATTCCACACGACACGTGCTATAAATTTGCGTTTTGACATTGAGTTATTGTAGTCTTTTACGAAATTAGTCCTTACTATTTATTTTATAAAATATTAACAATATGTATGTGTCAAGAACCAGTTGATCCCAATAACTCGAGTTGTTGGGAAAGATTCAATCGTGGATCATATACCATTCACTAACACACCCCCTCAAACGAAAGCCAGTCACCTCATAAGGCCTTTCGTTTGCACAGGTCTGAATATACGATACCATGTGCTTCACAAACGGGAGTCACCGGGATTCGAACACAAGACCTTTTGGTCACATAAGACTCTGATACCCTGTCAAGAACCAGTTGATCCCAATAACTCGAGTTGTTGGGAGAGGTTCCGTAATGGATCTTATACCACACACTAACACACTCCCTCAAACGAAAGCCACTCACAAGAGCTTGAAGTTCGCACAGGTCTGAATACAAGAATACCATGTGCTTCACAAATGGGGTTCACCAGGATTCGAACACAAGACCTTTCGCCCACAGAAGGCTCTGATACCATGTCAAGAACCATTTGATCTCAATAACTCGAGTTGTTGGGAAAAGTTCAATCGTGAATCATATACCATTCACTAATAGTATGATGGACTTAAAGGTAAATAAAAAAAAATTGTTAGACTAATGTGGTAGTAGTGGATTTTGTTGGTTCATAGATGTTAACAACTAACCACAAAACTAGTATTTTGCTAACCACACACAATCCATTACTCGCAACCCACAAACTATGAATATGTTTAACCACAATGTGTGCGATTGATACGATTTATGAGTTATCTTCAAACCGCAAACCAAACTTCCACTCACCTGAGTCTGACTACGGTTGGAGGCGAAAGTTTCCAAAGCCCTGCTGTACCAGAGCTCATAGTTCCTCTCTCCCAAGAACACCAACCAAAATTTAAAAGTGGTACTCGGAAGGTTCAAAAGAATATTTCTATCTGTCCTTTGAAGCAAAATCGGGTTGACGGAATCGGCTGGCCTTCGCTTGTCATATCTCTTTCGCGTGTTCTTCCATCCATGAATCCTTCGATTAAACTAAACAAAGAAAACTCCGCCAACTCCCTCTCCATTTTTCCCCCCTCCAGTTGTTGCTCTAGCGAGAACCTCTCCTTAACTACCTGCTCTTGTGACATTCCAACTACAAACCTCCCCCTTGTCCTCCTATTCAAATCTCTACCTCCGTTTTCTTCTGGGGGGCACTCCCCCTCTCTTCTCCGCCTTTCCTAACGTCTCCCATCATTCCGTTGGGTTGGGTTTTTTTTTCATCAAGCTTTGTTGGTCAGAAATGGAGATCAGGAATTGGATATTCGCTTTGATTCTGTGTCACGCCGCTCTTGTATTGACGAGTTGCGCTGTGGAGCTGGCCAGGAGTCCGCCCACCGAGAGGATTTCAGGTTCGGGTTTTCCTTTTTCTTTCGATTTCCGATTTCATTTTCTTGTGGTATATTTATAAATGCTGCTGTTCCTTTGCGGTCAATTGCATTCCGTGATAGTTTCCCTTTGCCGCCGATGTTAAATCGGGTCAAGTTTGAGCTTTGGTTGATGGGTTGTCCGAAGTTATGGTAGTTAGATTTCAAGGATCTAGGGGTTTGATGGAAATCTATTGCTGCCGGTTACAGTTCCGTTCCTAGTATTTAGATAGCGAGGTCATACCCCGTTCCTTATTTGACTGTGTCGACTGTTCCCTTTAGTTTCTGATAAAGTTCTGATCTTTTCCAGTCTTAGGTTTAGTAATGTATCTGATCAAGCAAACTTTGAAGTGAATGATGAATCAAAGAGCCTTTGTTAACCTTTGGAGCTGAATTGTTGCCATTCCAAATTTTGCCTGCAAATGGTTAGTTGAAACAGATTAGGCTGATTGTCGTTGAGGTAGTAACTAAACTGGATTGGTAGGAACTTGGTGCTTATGTTTTGCGGCTGTAATTTGACTTCAGTTTGACCTAGTTTTAAGACAGCAAGGAATATGGGTTGGTTTTGCTTTGTTCATATTTTGCTGATACTGAAGTGAAGAGTTCAGGGAAATCACTGGGATGGGTCATTCCCCTTCCTTCTGGCTTTTCTTGAATTTCATGGGGACTCTTACCATCTTATCCATGGAACTAGTGTTTGCTAATGCTTTGGCATTGATTGGGAAATAGTGTTGTGTTTTGTTTCTTTGCTCCACTGCTGGTGAAAGTTTCCTGCTTTATAACTAAGTAAAGCTAAATATTTTTAATGGCGTCCAGGTAGTGCTGGGGATGTTTTGGAGGATGATCCAGTTGGAAGGTTGAAGGTGTTTGTTTATGAACTCCCCAGCAAATACAACAAGAAGATTCTGCAGAAAGATCAAAGATGCCTTAATCACATGTTTGCAGCTGAGATTTATATGCACCGTTTTCTTCTGTCTAGCCCAGTTCGAACCCTCAATCCTGCAGAAGCTGATTGGTTTTATACCCCTGTGTACACCACCTGTGACTTGACACCCAATGGCCTTCCTTTGCCTTTTAAGTCACCAAGAATGATGAGAAGTGCAATACAGCTAATTTCTTCCAACTGGCCTTATTGGAATAGAACTGAAGGAGCTGATCACTTTTTTGTTGTGCCCCATGACTTTGGAGCATGCTTCCATTATCAAGTGAGTATACCTCTTCTTTCTTCTCATCTTGTGTTCCACCACAAATAGAACAAAAAGAAGTGTGTTGAACTCTGTTTTCATTGTTCTATATGGTTGCTCTCAGGAAGAAAAGGCAATTGAAAGAGGAATTCTCACGATGCTTCGACGAGCTACCTTGGTGCAGACATTTGGCCAGCGGAATCATGTTTGCTTAAAAGAGGGATCTATCACTGTTCCACCATACGCTCCTCCCCAAAAGATGCAATCCCATCTCATCCCAGAGAGAACTCCTAGAGCTATCTTCGTGTACTTCAGGGGGTTGTTTTATGATGTGGGAAACGACCCAGAAGGTGGCTACTATGCAAGGTAATACTTATACAATACCTGTCTTATACTTATTTCGAAATTACTATTGGTGTTAGATACTCTGCATTCTCAATGACTTGCATATAGAAGATTGTAAGCACAGGAGAGCACTGACCATAGATTCTGTTGTTCCAAACTTACTACAGAGGTGCGCGTGCAGCAGTGTGGGAGAACTTCAAAGACAATCCATTGTTCGACATATCCACAGAACACCCTACCACGTACTATGAAGACATGCAACGAGCGGTCTTCTGTCTATGTCCACTTGGGTGGGCGCCATGGAGCCCGAGGTTGGTTGAAGCGGTGGTATTTGGTTGTATCCCAGTGATCATAGCTGATGACATCGTCCTTCCTTTCGCCGATGCAATCCCATGGGAAGAGATCGGGGTGTTTGTTGATGAGAAAGATGTTCCGAACTTGGACACCATCCTCACTTCGATCCCACCGGAGATAATACTCAGGAAACAGAGACTGCTTGCGAACCCTTCGATGAAGCAGGCAATGTTGTTCCCTCAACCAGCACAACCGGGAGATGCGTTCCATCAGGTCCTGAATGGACTGGCACGAAAACTGCCGCATGACAAGAGCATCTACTTGGCCCCCGGGGAGAAGGTTTTGAACTGGACTGCGGGTCCTCTTGGTGATCTGAAACCTTGGTAGCTGCTGTTTCAAACTAAAATGATATGTAAATTTGTTTTCTGGTCTTTATAGATTTTGCTTATACATGCTGGGGATTATGCAGTTTCTGTATTGCGGTTGAGTATACCATAATTTTTGCTTTAGTGGAGGAAACTTAAAACTCAGGGCTTGGTTTTATTTTCTCTTGATGTTAAGATAATCTATGAGTAGTACAACCAGAGTTCGGAATCTTGGGTGCTCTTTTCCATTAGAAATTTGTTCTGTATTCTGCTCTATGAAGTGAATTGAGTAGTAGACGTCTAATTGTCGCTTTGTCGGGATTTTCCACCAAATACATGCCACATTTGGTCAAAAGCGCCTTCGTTAAAAGCAATCTCTATATATTGATCGCCTTGGACAAAAGCAATGTCCTGCTCGTTGAAGGAGAAATCTATGCAAAGATTTAATCGTGTGGACAAAGGTAATCCATAGTTACTCGCTTCCAAAAACAACAATCCATATTTGATCGCTTTAAAAAAACACAATCAACTTCCGCCAGTCCGGTCTCTTTTAACCTCGCATATCTTCAAAAAAGGTTAGATAGCATCTTTGGATCAACTAGTCAAAATGTAGATCATGTTTGTCTTGAGCGATCAAAGTGTAGATCGTATTTGTCATGAGCGACCTACAAGCATATTACTTAGCCGTAAAGTGATCATTGAGATGATATTTACACTCATATGAGCTCACCCTATTTTGTCAACGCATATTAGTTAGTACTAGTTTTCTCACCCGCACTTCGTAGCGATAAAAAGCCAAAATCAATATGATAAAATACATCCATAAAATTTGCATATTGTCTTAATCATTATAAATTCTTTCATAAACTTTACGTAGTGTTTTAATAATTAGGGAAGAATTATGATATTCATTTGTTTAATTGAAAACATAAGAAATAACCATCCCCATGTAATGTATTTGTAATTTCTAACTTTATGTGTGGTCTAATAATAAAATCAAGTTATAGAAATATTACATTTGATTATAGTGCTATATAAAAGTTAACTGAACTTACGAAATATTTGCGTAAGGAAAATTGATGGCATAGTGAATGTTTTAGTTAACGATAAAGGGAATAACTTACCTTAGGGAACCTTTGTATTATACAAATTTATGAGTTAGTCAACCGCTTAATTGATAGTAAATGAATTTTCACATTTATATTATGGAGGACGAATGTTAGTAAGAATAAATTACCTTAGAGAACCTTTGTACAATACAAATTTATGAGTTAGTCAACTGCTTAATTGATAGTAAGTGAAATTTTCACATTCATATTATGGAGGGCGAATATAATTATTTTTTAATTGATACATAATAAATCATTATCCCCGGTAGAAATAACTATTCCTATATTAATTTTTACGTCATGCATTGATAACTTAAGATAGAACAATGGTACATAAATCCTTTGAAATATTGGTCTAATAATAAAATCAAGTTATGAAAAGTCTCATTGGTTGCTATTATGTAAAGTTGACTAATATACGGAACCTTTGTAGTAAAAATTGATGAGATTGTGAAATTTATAATAGTGTTACTTAAATATTTCATAATGTGTGTTTTACTAATAAAATCAAGTTAGGAAGCAATAAAAAAAAGCATAGAACAATGTTACATAAATCCTTTGCAATTTTGGTCTAATAATAACATCAAATTATGAAAAGCATCATTGGTTACTATTATGTAAAGTTGACTAATATACGGAACCTTTGTGTAATAAAAATTGATGAGATTGTAAAATTTATAATAGTGCTACTTAAAATTTTCATAATGTGTGGTCTAATAATAAAATAAGGGGTCGTTTGGAAGTTGCGAATGTTAAATCGTTGCATTGTAATGAATCACCATAATATAAATGCATGTATTGATACAATGGATGCATTTTAACAATACATTGTTTGGTTGTTGAGATTCTACTTTATGCATTGATTTACATAAAGTTACTTTTATTGGGAAATGTCACATTTACCCTCAACTTTTAGAATAAGACAAAATCTATTGGGGATAGAAATGAAAAGAAAAAGTTGACACAAATCTAAAACCAACAATCACAACAATCTCAACTTTTAGTTGAGATTGTATAATGCATAATTTTTTGTGATTGTTGGTGGGACCTACCTAAAACAATGCATGCATTGTTTGACATTTTGGCACTTCCAAACATTGTATTGTGCACAATACATGTATTCAACAAACACAACTCTAACAATCACAACTTCCAAAAGACCCCTAAATAAAATCAAGTTAGGAAGCAATAACAAAAAGCTTGCGGTTTAAAAAAAAAAAACTTACAATACAATTTGATATATGGGATAGCTCCCCGGGTGAACAGTAACTTTGGAACAAAAATTAATTGTCACCCTAATTTTTCGTATGCAACAGTGTAGGTTGCTTGGGCTTATAGGAGAAGGAAGAGAGATTTAGAGAGAAGAGAGAAAGATTGGAAGCAGAATGATAGGGAGGAGGAAGAAAGAACAGAGGAGAGGCAAATTGGTTCTGTTATTCGATAGTTCCCTTTACACAGCTTACTCCCTCTTTTATATGACCACCTAATTACAAACTAATACCCCAATTAAATCCTATTACAACTAAACCCTCATTCATTACAATCCCGACCTCTTGAGGACAGACTTGTCCTTAAGTCTGAAAACCGAATCCAGCACTAAAATAAGAAGGAAATGAGCTAAACAAGGTAAGGAAAACAAAACAAAATGAGTTGCAGCAACATGGCACTTGTAGGTAGCAGCAGTATGCTTCTCAAAGGCTTGAGACTTGGAGTTGAAGACATGTTGGGTCAGCCCACCCCTACTGTGGGTATCTTCCTTCCTCCAACTTCCCTTGCCAAATCATCCTTGTATGGTTCCTTGAAGTTGAAGCAAACAACCCTTCTTTCCAGTTTCACTCTAGGCCACCAATACCATTGAACTTTTGGTACAACACAATCTCCTTCACCAGTAACCCAAATCCCATTATGATTCCTGAAAACAAAGCCAGACCTGTTAGGAAATGATGCTCCAATGACAAATTTAATGCCATCAACATCTTGGGTATTCATCATAGACCCCAACTCATAAGCATCACCATGAACTAATTGGTGTTGCTGAAAACACAACCGACTCTTCACCACTCTAGGTGGAACACCACTCAAGGCTGAATCCTCCACCACATCAACATCCTGAGGTTCGATAATACCAATCATTTCACTCACAATAACCATGGCCGGAGTAGGAAAAGAGGTCCTAACAAACTGTGTTGGCTTCACTGACTGCTTGTACACTAGCTCTCGCAGTTGGCATTGCTTTAGGGATGGCTGCACCGAATCGGTGTTGAGATCTACATGTACTTGAAAGTCCAGCTGAAGTTGCAGCTCATGGTTAACTTTGATCTTAACCATCTTCCTTTTATTATACTCAGCATCATCAATAACAATTTTATCCAGCCCAGCAAACTCAGTTACTATTGTTCCTTCCCTGGTGTCCAGTTCCAAACCATTCTCAAGATCACAGTGGTGCTCGAGCTGACCAGCAGTAGGAAGAGAAACTGTTGATGGAATGCAAGAAGACTCTCCTAACCCTGCTTTGACTTGCAGTAAAGTGCCCTCGCTGCTGGCTGTAATACTTCTAGTATCAACAACTAAGTCACCATTCACAGTATTCCTCTCTGGGGTTGAAACAGGGTGAATCGATATATTTCTCTCTACACCCATCACACTCAGAAGAGAAAATGGTTTGGCTTCTTTATCAGATTCAGAATATGTTCTCTGTCTGTACTCATCCTCATCAACATCTGCTTCATTACTTAAGCTTTCAGCGAGGCATAGACCTTCTTCACTGAGATCCAACAACTCATCATGCTCGCTACCATTCTCTTCAAAGTCATTGCCATTGGCTGTCGCAACCATTAAGTTGGTATTAATCTGCTTCACCGCACCAGCACAGATGATCTTCCCACTAAATGTACTACTACTTCCCGTTGCCACAACTAAGATAGCATTCTTAGCATTCTCTTCTGAGACTGGAATAAGGGCAGTCGATACATCTCCATCGAGACTCCTCAAACGCATTTCAAATTGAGCTTGATGATAAGCTTGAGCTAATGTTTGGGGCTGCAACATTTTAACTATGGGTCTCAATTCCTCCTGCAACCCACTGATGAAATTGGAGATGAAAAACTCTTCTGTTAATGCTGGGTTATATCGTAACATATGGGACTTCAAGTCCTCAAAGTTTTCCTGATATTCAATTAAAGATCCCCTTTGTCGCAACCTCTTGAACTCACCCACAATTCCACCTGACTCCCAATCACTAAACCTACTACACAGGGCAATTGCAAACTCTCCCCAAACCAGCTCCTTACGGCAAGATTTCCACCCCTCAAACCATATCGCTGGACGGCGGTCAAAGTAACTTGCCGCCATCATAACTCGATGTTCCTCCGGAATGCCATACTTCGCGAACACCCTTGCACACTTCCTAGCCCATTCCCGTGAATTATTACCAGAGAAGAGAGGAATACCTGAGGCAAATTCCGGCTCAGCAATTTGTCGAACAGGTGGAACGCGCTGTAGGTAGACATCAGCTCTCGTTCGTCGCTGCTCCGCAGCCTCACTCCGGTGGCAGAATGCTGTGAAGTGCGCCAAGATTGTTTTGTTCTGGCGGCTTAGCTCCTCCATTCGAGCATCCCAATCCGCCCAATTCGTCGGCCGACGAACCCCATCGACGAACCGTTCTTCCATGGAAAACATACCCGTCAGGCCGTCATCAGTGTCGAGAAGAGGCTCTGATACCAATTTGTAACAGTCGGAGTCGGAATTGGATCTTCTCAGCGAGTTAATCGATCAAAGGAATGGAATGGAGATCTCAATTGAAGAATCAGAAGGAGAATTATAGGAGAAGGAAGAGAGATTGAGAAGAAGAGGGAGAACAGAAGCAGGAGAAGAAGAAGAAGGGAGAAGGCAGAGTATAGGAAGAAGAAGATTAATAAACTGATTTCTGTTATTCGATAGTTCCCTTTACACAGCTTACTCCCTCTTTTATATGACCACCTAATTACAAACTAATACCCCAATTAAATCATATTACAACTAAACCCTCATTCATTACAATTAGGAAGCAATAACAAAAAGCTTGCGGTTTCGAAAAAAAAAACTTACAATACAATTTGATATATGGGATAGCTCCCCGGGTGAACAGTAACTTTGGAACAAAAATTAATTGTCACCCTAATTTTTCGTATGCAACCGTGTAGGTTGCTTGGGCTTTTAATTAATTGATTATTAAGCTATAGGTATCTAAAAATTTAGACTTACTATATTACAAAAAAAATAATAATAATAAGACTTACTGTTCAATAAGAAAAATCGGAAAACACTGTTCACCTGTAGAGTTTAGCTTATCTCCAACACCTTTATTGTAAGCCCAAGTACTCCTTTTTTTTTTGTTGGGAGTACTTTGGAAAGCATGTCCATTGATTGCACATTGATTTGTCCGAGCATAGCCGTTTGATTCTCATGTATAATCTTGTTAGACACTCCACAATGTAGTGTAGTTTAGGGGGAAAAGTGGGGTAATAACCCACAATGTGGGTGCCTGGGTGGAAAAGATGGAAAAAGTGGAGAAAATGGGAAATTTTGGGTGGGAAAACCCACCAGAAGAAGACAAAAGGTGAGGGGGAAGGGGAAGGGGTGGGGCCCGCGTCAATTTTTTTTTTATTATTTTAATGGTTTAGTGTTTATTTGTTTGCTTTTATTTCTTCTTAATTATGTTTTTGTTCAACTATCAATGTAACAACTTTCTTGTATAAATTATTGTGATTTCGTCATTAATGACGTTAATTTGTGATGAAAAAATTATGTCCAAATTGAAAAAAATATATCGAAATGTTCCTATTCATTAATTATCACTAACTATGTAAAAATAATGATCATTATATAAAAATAAAGTGTTGAAATTAACTATAAATTGATTTTACTAAAAAAAGTGTTCTACCAATTACCCCCTTTTCCCACACCCACATTGTGACCAAACCCTCATATTTTCCCTCTTTTACCTCTTTTCCCACCTTTCCCACCCTCCCACATTGTGGATGGTCTTACTTCATTAAAAGAACCAGTACAAATGTAGTGTTCCTTAGAGTCACACCACTAGAAGGGGTTTTTTTTGTAATTTTCCAGTCACTTTTGTTATTTCCTTTGCCGTCTCTAATGGTGGATTTTTTGTAATTTTCCAGTCTCTCTTGTTCTTATTCTGGTGGCTGTGATGGTGTTTATGTAATTTTTAGGGAAAAAATCCCAAAGTACACTAGTTTTTAAAAAAAATTCCCAAAATACATAAGTTATAAAATTTTTTCCAAAAGTACACATGTTTGGGCATCACCGTGTTTGACAAAAGCGGTGAAGTTTATCACCGCGTTTGTCAAAGACGGTGAATACTTCACCGTTTAAGACCAAAACGGTGACGTATTCACCGCCTTTATCTAAAACGGTGATGTATTCACCGCGTTTGTTGAGGACGGTGAATACATCACCGTTTATGTTGACAACGGTGATTACCTTCACCGTTTTAGGTTAAAGCAGTGATATATTCCCACGTTTCCCACCCCTGGTAGGTCAAAATTAGGTCACACCTACCTATTATTCACCGTTTGAGACAAGCGCGGTGATGTTGTTCACCGTTTTTGACAAACACGGTGAATAATAGGCAGATTTTCCTATAAATACCAACCCACCAGCAGAAGCAAAAACATAACCACTCCCCCCTTCTTCAAATTTCAGCAACAAAAATCGAGCATAATACACAAAACAGACATTTTTCGGAATGTTGAGACTTTTCGTATTATTGTCTAATTATGTTTTTAGTAGTTATAGTATGATTAAATTTTCGTATTATGTTGTTGTTAGTTAGTTGAATTTATGTTCGTTAGTTATAGTATGATTTAATTTTCGTATTATGTTGTTGTTAGTTAGTTGAATTTATTTTCGTTAGTTATAGTATGATTTAATTTTCGTATTATGTTGTTGTTAGTTAGTTGAATTTATGTTCGTTAGTTATGAGATGGACAATATTAGTTGTACAATATGATTTTGGTTAATTTTACTGTCTTTAAGCTAATATATACTTATCCTCGATTTGTAGATATGGGTAAATTCAAGAAGTTTCATCTTACTATTCGGTGGAATGGAAGGGTGACAAACTCTAACATAGGCATTGATTATGAGGACGGCGAATCCATTATGCTGAACATTGGTTCCCGATTAAATTTTCAAGAACTCTGTGATCTTTGTGCAGAAAGGGTTTGTACGAGCGGACAGACGAGACTTGGCAGAATTACTTACCGGTATCCAGACATGAGTGCTGGCGGGGTCGTGTTCCAAGAAGTTGTCATAAACGATGATGACGCGGTTACGATGATGTTACAGTTCCTAAGCGATAACCAAGTCCGGCTTGCAGAGGTGTATGTTGAGACCGAGGCGGTCGGTGAATCTCATTCTCACCAGTATTCTTATGATGATGGTTTTGCAGGAGGGTACGAATGGGGTGGTAGTTCGAGCAACTGCCAAGGCGGTGGTTATACAGGAGATTATGGGGAGGGTGGTGGTTCAATCAACTACGGTGGATCGAGTAGTGCAGGATGGGACAAACACTCGCAACCTCCTAAACCAGCCCCATTTGTTGAGGCCGATGGTGTTCAATGGCCTGCTTGGGGGCCAGAGTGGTATGGAATCGAGAATACCATTCGATCAGGGCGTACTTCACATGAGCGAGAGGACGATGTTGGTGATCGTGGTCATGTTGATCCTTCTAGCCCGAGCTATCCATTCGAGTCGAGCGACGAGGATACTGAGGAAGATTTGAGATCAGTGAGCGAGGAGGAGGAAGATACTGATGATAACGAGGATGAGGCGGCATTTCGTGAGGCACCCACGCCATATTACACACAGGTTCCAACTCAATTTTTACATAGTCAGAATGATCCCCCCGATTATGTCCCTATGCCAGTGTACAATCCGACGGCCAATTTGGAGGTGGGTATGGCGTTCCCATCGAAAGACGCTGTGCAGGATGCGTTTACAGAAGAGGCGTTGAGGCGCAATTTCGAGTGGAAGGTAAAATATTCTGACAGTAAACAACTACATGTCATATGCAAGCATGATGCAGAGGGTTGTACGTGGCAACTGCGGGCTGCAAATATGAAGAGAAAGGGTGCTTGGGTGATTCGCAAAGCTGAGACGATCCACACATGCTCCTCTTCTATACTTTCCCAAGATCACAGGCAACTAAAAGCAAAGAAGGTTGGGAGAACTATTAAGCACCTTATAGAAGCACAACCAGATATCAAGGTGAAAGCTATCATGGCAGAGGTGAAGGATCGACATTCTTACACGATAAGGTATAAAAAAGCATGGCATGGTAAGCAGAAAGCCATGGCTGAGGTGTATGGTGATTGGGAGGATTCGTATGCTTTACTCCCTAGACTTATGGGAGCAATGGAGGAGTCCAATCCTGGGACTGTTTTTGTCCCAGTATACAACAATGTATACACTGAGGATCAAGTTCGAGTACAGGATAAGTTGATGTTCCATCGTCTTTTTTGGGCTTTTAAACCATGCATTGACGGATTTGGGTTCTGCATACCGGTTATTCAGGTATTTTACCAACTAGTTCCAGTTTTAAATGTTGTATTATTTGTTGTTTAGTATATTTCATACTAATTATAGTCTTAATTTTTATTCAGGTTGACGGAACTTTCCTTACTGGGAAGTACAAAGGATGTCTTCTAATTGCCACTGGCGTAGATGGAAACAGGCGGATTTTCCCGCTTGCATTTGCATTAGTGGAGGGGGAGAACAGCTTAAGTTGGGCTTGGTTCTTTGACCAACTGCACGAGCACGTGACACAGCGGGAAGATATTACGATTATATCCGATCGACATGCGGGGATAAGGAATGCTGTTGGTGGTTTTCCCGACGAGTGGGGGTGGAGATGGAGATGGTGTATTCGACACTGGCTCGCCAATTTCCAACACTGGCTTCGACACCCATCTCATGGTGAACTTCCGATACCACTGCATGTATCCATCGTGGTAGCCCATCGGTCTCGTCTCCGGCATCCCTTGCACCACCCATTGGTGTCGATTCTCCCAGATGTTGATGTAGAATCCATGCTTTCGCTGCCAGTTCTTTGACGAATGTCGGAGGTCGATAGCATGTAGCTCCCTGAAACCTGCTGGCGGGTCTTGTGGAATTGGTTGCTCCATTCGATATTGCCTCAGGGATCGATCGGGAAGGTGCCATTCCACCATGTGCCAGCAGATTAATGGCACCTTGCACAACCATGTGTCGTGATCCAGAGGGTGCCTAAGATGATGCAGCTCAACCACTTCACGTGGATATGGATCCCATATAACCTATATCCATTCAAAAAATCGGAATTAACTACCATTTACTTTGACAAAATTTAACTTGTTCAAATATGGACAAAACATGATTACCTGATTCCACCATGGTTTATCTAACTCAGAACGATAAAACAGTAACGAATGCTCAGGTTGATGGTCATTCGTATTTGCTCCTATCCACCTTGTAAGTAAAAGTACAAAATCAATTTAATTGAAATATAGCTAAGCATATAATAAATTAAATTGGTCTAAGACGGAATAAATTCAATTTAAATCTAGCTAAGCATGTAATCAAAATTAAATTGGGCTAAGTACGGAATAAATTCAAATTAAATCTATCTAATGTAATAAAATTTAAATTGGGCTAAGTACGGGATAAATTCAATTTATTTCTAGCTCAAGCATGTAATAAAATTTAAATCGAGCTAAGTACGAAATAAACTTACTTGACACCGTATGGGAGATTTTGCAGAAAGATGAGCTCATCATCGTTTCTCCGGTATGGACGTGGGTCGGCAGGTGCGAACATTGGAAGATGCTCCCATACCCACAGTTGTAGTATGAACATCGCAGCACCAGCTTGCTTTGCCCCAACCTTCGAGCAAGTACACAGCTCCTGGTATAAGCCCGCTAGCACGGCCGATCCCCAACTCTTTTGCCCGATTGCATCCCAATCACCCGTGAGCAACTCCAACCATATGCCTTGAATCCACCGTTTGGACTTGTCGGGGAACAAAAATCAACCCACCAAACCGATGAGGTAGATGCGGGCGTAGCGCTCGACTTGTTCTTCCGGTGTCTCGTCATTGATCACAACCTCTTGTTGGATGTGAGACACCAGCCACGGGACCGACACTTGGCCCGCATTCAACGGTGGATGCCCCCGTCCTTGAATTGGAGTGGTGGTGGCATGTCAAAGCCCAAACGATCACGTATGAGCGGCCCCTAACCTCCTTCGGGTTTGGTCTGGGGACCAATGACGGCATCCCCAGAAATAGGCATCCCGGTGAGGATCGCCACGTCTTTGAGGGTGATCGTCATTTCCCCCTCCGGAAGGTGGAACGTATGGGTTTCGGGACGCCATCGTTCCGCCATTGCCGTAAGCAGATCGTTGTCGATTTCGATCCGCAAGAAATGGCTCAACATTCCCAAACATGTCCTCGCTATATAGGGCTCCAACCTTGGATGCCAAGCGGGCAAGTTATTGGTCCCTTTATGAACCACGGGAACAAGCGATTCCTAAAAAAAATAGGGAAAACAACAATTTATTAGATTAAATAAAGCAAAATAAAACCTTAGAAAATAATAAAATAAAGCAAGAATACTCAAAAAATTACCGGATTGTTATCCCAAATAGCACGGGAGCGATGAGCTACTTGATCGGTTAAGAGACTCGCATCCCTTGGGCCATAATGGATATACAATCGAGGATCGTATATCTCGGCACCCATCTATAAAAAAGTAATGAAATCAGAGATTGTTTTGATAAAAATAAAACAAAAAATCATATTATTTCGATTAAAAAAAATTCATAAACAAAAAACCTACACGAAGAGCCTCTTCGTCCATTTTTTGGCGTAGGCCGGACAGAGGTTCGACGAGTTTAGGTTTGAGCGGGACGGGAACTTAGCGGGACGGGGGCTTTAGGGTCAAACTCTAGTAATTCTTTCTGATGTGGAAGATCGGACTTAGCCGCAACCACAGAGCATACTTAGAACGAGACTAGAGCGGATAAATTGAGGGAGAAAGAAGTGAAATGTTTGTGGGGTGAGTTGAAAGTGAAAGGGGAAGGGGGTATTTATAGTTGGGGGAAGGGGGAAGGGATCTGCCGAGAATTAAATTCTCCCAGCCTTCACCGCGTCTAACAGAAACGGTGAAGTCACCGCGTTTCTCGAGGACGGTGATAAGGCGCGGATCGAGCGACGTGGCTCAGCGTGAGGCGTCGGATCTGGAAAGAAAACCACGATCCGCGCCTCACCGTATCCAACGGCCACAGTGAACGCGCCAGCGACGCGGATCGCTGACGCAAACAAACACGGGGTATTCACCGTGTTTGTCTAACGCGGTGAATACCCCGCGTTAGTCCACGTCAGCGCCTTCACCGTGGACCACTTAAACGGTGAAGGCTTCACCGTTTTTGCCTAAAACGGTGAAGTATTCACCGTCTCTGTTTAAAACGGTGATTCCTTCACCGTTTTATACAAAAACGGTGAATACTTCACCGTTGTTTTTTAAAACGGTGAAATATTCACCGTCTTTGACAAACGCGGTGATAACCTTCACCGCTTTTGTCAAACACGGTGATGCCCAAACATGTGTACTTTTGGAAATTTTTTTATAACTTATGTATTTTGGGAATTTTTTTTAAAAACTAGTGTACTTTGGGATTTTTTCCTAATTTTTAGTGGGTTCTATTTTGTACTCTTTTTTTTTTTTGTGATTTTTTAGTCTGTGTTTCTTCCACTTTCGTTGTTTTGTCTCTCCCCTTTGAATGTCGAATGTGAGTCTGATATATATAGGTGTCACCCTAAAAAAGAAATTGTGGGTGTATGATTGGGAGTTTTCCTGCTGCTTTTTGTTCTCACTCTATGTTTTCGACTGTACAGTCGCATTTCTTTTGTGGTTCATCGGGTTGTAGAGGATCCCCCCTCTATTGTTGTCAGTTTGTCGGTTGTTTTCTATCTTTTCCCTTCTGTTTTCCTTATGTTATTGCTGCTTAGGTTTCTTATTCTGGATTTATGGTGCCTTATGATGTTTGGTTTAACTCTAATTGGCGGAGTTGGTTGTTCTTGCTTCCTTGCTTTTCCCCGTACTTCATTCATGTTATGTTTGTAGTGCTGTTTCGTCTGTTTCTTCTTGTTTTTCTTCTATGGTTTCTCATAATTCGTGTTATGTTTTTAGTGTTGTTTCGTCTGTTTCTTCTTCTTTTTCTGCTATGGTTTCTCATACATTGTTGTTGGATGTGTGTGAGACTGATGGTTTGCAAACTGTGCTCAAGCTACGGCTATTGCATGCTTGGGGTTCTTATGGTTTGAAGAACCATGGTTGATTTATAATTATTGTACGCTTTGGAATAATGAGGAGGTGGTGTTTCTGCATTTGTATTGTGTTTGGTTTGTGTACTTTGGAATAATTGTATGGTTGGTCACTGAGATTACAAAAAAATATTCATGTTTGGTCACTAAAAATATTTAAATCCAAACTTGGTCACTCAAATTAATTAAATGGTTTAAGTTTGGTCACTCTCTGTCCATTGACAACTTTCATAGTTGACTGTTAAATATGTGATGTGGCAATTAAAAATAAAAAAATAAACTTTTATATTTTCCACCTCATTATTACATTCATTAAAAATAAAAAAATAAAAAACCTAATTTCTTTTCTACACACCCCAATACCCTACCCGACCAAACCTCACCACCTCTAGAACACAACCTCCGGTCCGACAGCGGCATTCCTTCTAGATTCGGCGAGCTCCCCATCATCACACTATCAGTATCGAACACCTGCTCCATCCGGTAAACCACCAGCGACTCCAACCACGACGACAAAATCCCCCTGACCTTCTCGTTAGGGGTGGGCATCGGTCGATTCGGTTCAAGACCGGACCAAACTATACTCGAACTGGACCAACATTTCTTCTAAATCAAGGACCAAAGTCGAAGCATTATTACTTCGATTCGGTTTGGATAAAACCATATATGGCTCGATTCGGTCTGGAACATCTCATTGGACCGACTAATCTTTCATTCGGATAAAATCACTCTTAAAGGACAACACAAGAATTAAAAAAATGTAACTACACGAAAAGAAGTAATCAAATTATCCCAATTTAAATACTCCACAATTCTTAAAAATCACATGTTCCAAAATATTATGCAAAAAGCTAAACGAGAACTACTTAACTAACTAAAAGACAAAAGTCTTTTTATTCAATCTCATAGGTAGTCTAACTAATTGCCTCTCTAATCTTCCATTTTCATTTTCATAGTGCAGGTTGGACCGCCCAATCTCCAGAATTTCCACTGTTCATTAGAAAGCCTCTCTTCTACCATATAAGCACATGATATAAGGCATTAGAAAGGAGTTTAACAAAGTGACACTTACTCCAAGAACTAGTGCAATAAAACAAATGGTTCTTAACCTTGTTAATTTGCAGTGGTGTTGTCAGACTTGGCAGAAGCCTCTGTGGTGTCATTTATGCACATCTTCTCACAGTGTGTAGGTAAAGTAAGCAGCCTCTTGATCGAAGCAACGTGGATGAGAGCTCTGATTTGAGGGTAGGACTATAGGAGCGGGAGCGGCGAGTCAAAGTCAGGGAAAGTCAATCATATTTATAGGTAGTTAAGTCATAAGTGTTGTGTAGGGTACTAGGTTTTTCAACTCCAAGTCGACTTTCCTTCTCAGAGCCTAATAAAATAGACAATTAATTTAATTACGATTTGGTCCAGTCCTTAGCTTGATTTTATGGTTTCGGTCTGGACCGAACCAAAACCGAAAATGTCCCAAATTCAGGAACCAAAGTCGAATCGAAAGATAAACAGTTCGATCTGATTCGGTGTAAGAGTCGATTCGGT